CCAGACCGATACTTCCGATTGGTTTATTCTAGACAAGGCGTTCCTGAACACAGTTAAGACTCTCAACCTCAGTTGGAATCACATTGAAGAAAACCAGCTAGGTTATATAATGCAGAATTTCCCTTCTGTGACCTGGATGGCACTGAATGGTCTGAAGGGGTTCAAGGTGGAGACGCTTTTACAGAAGGTGTGTTCTCCTAGTCTGAGGGGTCTCCACTTGGAGGACAACCAACTTTCTGTACTTACCGATCGTATGTTTAGACCTTGTGCACTTTTGAATGAGTTGCACCTAAGAAACAACCGAGTATCGAGAATCTATAAGTCGTCATTCGATCATCTAGTCAACGTGACAGAGTTACGAACACAAAAGAACCTTCTGACGCAACTGAACGACACTCTTCAGGTTCTCCCCAACTTATGGGTCCTCGATCTTCATCTCAACAGCATTGGAAATCTTGACTGCTCTGATTTTGCGAATCTGACGCAGTTAAGGCAACTCTATTTGCACAAGAACCAAATTGTGACAATCAAGGCATGTGTATTTAAGGATTTAGGAAATCTCGAAGAGCTCATTTTGAGTAGCAATCGTATGTTAACGGTCAGTGGCACCTTTACATATGGCCCCCAAAACTTACAATACCTGGATTTGAATAACAATAAGTTGATTGCCATCCAAAGTCACTCTTTTAAAGCTTTGGATTCCCTTCGGACCTTGCATCTCGCAGACAGCCAAATATTAAATATCTATCCATATGCTTTTGCAGGACTGATAAATTTAACAGACTTGCATCTAACAAAATCACAGAAAGAACTCTAGAAAACCATGCTGTGTTCGATGGTACACCTAACCTACAGAGTATAGATCTGAGTTGCAATTACATCTCATACGAGACTCAAGAGGAGCTACAAAGTCCACCATTCATGCTGTTAACTGAACTGAGAGTTTTGAAGATTAACAGTCAACGTCGAGGCTTAAACTACATCCCTTCAAACTTCCTGAAAGGTCTCAAAAACTTGCAAGTCTTTTATGCTGGGAACCTTAAAGTCAAGAATTTACATGTGGACACATTTAGTTGCACTCCTAAGCTTACTTACTTGGATTTGACAAGTAATAATCTTGCAAACAGGAATGCCTTGACGTCCAGGCTTTTCCAGCCAGTATCAGGCCTAAATAAGATTACGTTGGGTCGGACTCACCTTAAGTCCTTCTTAATCGAAGCAAATCTCTCCAGTTTGGCGATCTTGCGAGCCAGTACGAATGACCTTAAATTTATAAACCAAACCGTCATCCAATCGCTTCCTCAAATCAAAGTGCTTGACTTGCAAAACAACAGCTTCACGTGTGACTGTAGTAACGCTTGGTTCATCGACTGGGCCGTCAAGAACAATCAAACGCAGGTGCTCTACCTGAACATGTACGAATGTCGCTATCCCCTTTCTTTAAGCGAAAAGAGTCTGGCGGCCTTCAACACTGAATCATGCAATGTGAATTACGACTTCATCTGCTTTGTCTACAGCTCTTCCATTGTCATTCTCACTCTAGTCATTTCATTTATCTACCACTTTCTAAAATGGCAGCTGGTCTATGCGTACTACTACCTCTTTTTAGCTTTCCTCAATGACAAAAAGAGGAAGCAAACATTAAATCATCTGGATTTCCAATATGACGCCTTCATTTCGTACAATGCTCAAGAAGAGCCATGGGTTCTGGAAGAACTTGTGCCCAAACTTGAGGGTCAACACGGCTTGAGATTGTGCCTTCATCACCGAGACTTCCAGCCAGAAAAGGCCATTATCGACAACATCGTGGACGCAATATACAACAGCCGCAAAACCGTCTGCCTGATCACGCACAACTATCTGAAGAGCGTTTGGTGTTCGCATGAGATCCAGGTGGCCAGCTTCAGACTTTTTGATGAACAGAAAGACGTTTTGGTTCTAGTTTTTCTCGAGGATATTCCCGCGCACCAGCTTTCGCCGTATTACCGAATGCGCAAGCTGGTGAAGAAGCGGACGTATCTATGGCGCCCCAAACCTGGATAAGATACTCGAGCGTTCTGGCAGAAACTCAAAATGGCCATTGAGTCTAAAGAGGACATGAAGGACAGACAGATCCTTTCTGGAAAACACGAAGACTGTATTTAAAGATCAATGTAGCCTGATTGCATTATTAATTATTTAAATGAAATGTTTCATGTAAAAACTGGTCTGTAAATGATCACAATCGGCATTTAATTATTAATGTTAAATATTTTGCCACATTTTTGTCAACTGAGGATACCAGTTCCCATTCTAACTATTCCCTCCAATTAATGCTGATCTATTCAACTATAAAATACTATAAGTGTCAAAATTGTGGTTGCACGATATATCAAAACCGATATTGTGATATGGCTTAATGCAATAACCAAATTGCAAAGATTAATTTGAATGAGTATACTGTTTGCGCTGCTGGTTTCAGAATGAAGATTGTGCTCACAATACAATGTTTCAATGTCTCAGAGCAGCTTGGTTAATTTATTGTGAATCGAGGGCACTCTGAGATGCTGAAACACTGTATCATGAGTTGTATGCGTCATATGAACGCATATGAACACAGGCTTCACTCTGAAAATGGCAGCGCATAACTTTATTTGTCAGCAAACTGTCAAAATAAATAATAGTTGATGTATTAACATTTGAAAATTAAGAAATTCAGATGTAAATTTTATTATTGCAATTTTACAGCTGTAGGCCTATTATAAAAAAACAATATTTTTTATTATTTTTATTAAATACTAATAATTTTATTATATATATATATATATATATATATATATACATAATATTTTACTCTAGAAAAGTATTATTGCATTATATTTATAATTTTTTTTAATATTTTTTAAATTAATATTAATCACAATAAAATCATTTTATTATTTTATAGTGAAGACAGAGGTGGAAAAATACAGTTTAAGGTTACTGAAAGAGATTTGAGTTGGTTAGAGTATACCCAATTAATTTTTTTATTTTTTTTTTTAAGTTTCGTTAAAATCTAAGAGCATGGGTCACATAAAAAGTATTTAGAGTAAAAAGTAATTTTTCAGCTTTTTATATTTATTTTCAGATGTGCTCTGCAACAAAAGTAACCCAAATTCAGATGTAAATATTAGTATTGTAATTTTACAACTGCACTATAAGATAAAATTCTACTTGTTGTTATTATTTTTCCTATGCGGATGCACTCCACAACAAAAACACTGACATTTTTTCTTTAAAAAATTATTTCAAATGCAATTTTAAAAAATAAAATAAAAATGCACTTAAAGACCTAGGTTTCCTGTGCTTTTTGGTAGGGCTGCACAATTTGGGCCAAAAGAGTTATATAATAACAAAACAAACAAAATAGTTTTTGAATGATTCATTAGTTCCAAATATAGCTTTTCAATACCTCCAGAAAATTTCTGCATTTTTTCATATCAAAATATAATGTTTTTTTCCAATATCGTACTATAAGGACACTAATCACATAAATCACAAAAACTCTTAAAATGAAACTAGTTGAAAAGTAATGAGTGTTCATTGCTAAATACACAGCAACTGCATCAAAAACCAGCTCTAAATCTTGACTACTGATGTGCTCTTTGATGTGATTTACAGGCAACGCTGTAATACCAATCAAAATGTCATCGCCTTCATCCTTGAGCTGGGGTGTACTCCAAATAGATAGATAGATAGATAGATAGATAGATAGATAGATAGATAGATAGATAGATATTCTCCACCTTCATAACTGAACCGACGGATCAAACCGTTCGTCAGTTTCAAAGTAACTGTTTCACGAAGAATAAGTTTAAGTAATCCAAGAACACTTTAATAACCGAATATAAAGGAGTTCTCGTACCTTTAATACTTATTCCGAGTCCTCCAACTTCTTGTTTGGTGACTCTGACGGTTCGTTTGACGTTCGTGATGGTGTCCGGTACCGGAGAGGCGCTGAGGTTCGCCGGATCGCCGTTAACAGCCCCACCGGCCGCGGGCTCATCGGCGGCGTCTCCGGGGCTCACGGTGAACGAGTCCTCGCTGAGAGCGGAGAGCACACGGATCCAGTGGTGCACGGTAACGCGGAGCTCCAGCAGTCCGCTCTTCAAGGGCTTCACTGCGGCCGCCATGATCAACACATTCCTGGGATACCAGCGGAGGAGCGGAGGAGCGGAGTCCCAGCTCAACTTATCCCCTCCTCCTCCTCACCAATCTCTCTCTCTCTCTCTCTCTCTCTCTCTCTCTCTCTCTCTCTCTCTCTCTCTCAGTTCAGCTTTACTTCTCAGATTCAAAGTAGCCTACTTTTATTGTCATGCTTGTTGCAGTACTGCCAACGCATCAGTGCACACAGAAACAAACTGAGGCAGAACAGAACAGAACGAAAGAAAATATTAAATAATAATAAAAATAAATAAAATAAAATTGCAAGAATGTTAATAGAATACAAGTTTAACAGTGAAACAAACAGCATATAATAATAATAATAATAAACGTTCAGCAAGACATAAAAAATGTCATCTTTGTATATGTTGGTTACATTCTGTTAAAAAACTTTTTTTTACTAAACGTTCCTTGCATCTTAGATACATGGAATACATCTTAATTAATAGTTATCATAATCATCATCCTCATGAACTTCTGTTACATTCATGAATGTCAGGTTTCTCAGTGTTACTCTATTAAAAGATCAAAATACTTTATTAATAATGAAAAATACTTAATAAGGTCACGAGGGGGTCTAAGAGGGGTCACATGGGTATGCATGACTTTCCTTCTTTTGTTTTTAATGCACTAAAAAAATAATAATTTTTACATTTTCCAAACGTAACACTTTTCATTTTAAACGAACTTTTTTTTACTAAACGTTCCTTGCATCTTAGATACATGGAATACATCTTAATTAATAGTTATCATAATCATCATCCTCATGAACTTCTGTTACATTCATGAATGTCAGGTTTCTCAGTGTTACTCTATTAAAAGATCAAAATACTTTATTAATAATGAAAAAGACTTAATAAGGTCACGAGGGGGTCTAAGAGGGGTCACATGGGTATGCATGACTTTCCTTCTTTTGTTTTTAATGCACTAAAAAAATAATAATTTTTACATTTTCCAAACGTAACACTTTTCATTTTAAACTCCACAAAAATATCAAAATGACTTTTAATTCTTAAAATTAACAAATGTTTATGACAGAAGAACAATTACAAATATGTATGTCATTAAAAAGTATGTGTACAAACACTTTTAATCATACTTTTTCTTTATTACAACCTTTTTTTTGTATTCAGAACATTGTTTATTTATTTATTAGTCTTGGTCAATCTTGTAAACATAAATGTAAATTTGTTCTCTATGGTCAGCTTTTGGTATAGACTATAATTCTTGTGTCTTTGATTTAAAAAACTAAAAACTTCAAAAAGTCAAAAATGACTGTCATATAAATGTTTTTATTATTGCTTTTGACTTTTTTTTACTTTATTAAAATAATAATCCTGAATAAAATAGACACAATAAATATATGTATATGTATTATTATTATTATTATTTAATAAATGGTATTCATAAATATTTAAAACCACATAAAACAAAGCACTTTATAGCACATCTTTGGTGTACCATAGCTGACTTTCATATATCAAAGTACCACGGTCTTTCTCTTTGATGCCATAACTGTGTTATTTTGACATAACATTTATTTATAGTACATTTCTATCATTTTGTAATGGTATTATTTTATCTCCAGAACTCAAACACAGACAGCGGAAGCTCTTCGTCTTCATCTCATGTTTGCACTGACGGCTCAGTGTGAAGCTATTCAACCTAATTACCAAATAGACTCTAATTAGTCTCTTTATATGTGGAAAGGTTTGGATGTTCCTGAGCAAACGCTGATCCAGACATCAATGAACTACAAACACTGAGCGCTGAAGTTTCTTCTGCTATTCAGCACCACCTTACCATTCTGAGTCTTTTTCATTAAGACAAAAAAAAAAGATTACTTTCTCAGATCATTCACTCCTGTGCTGCAATATTTTGAACTCTATATGATGATGTCTACTTGAAATTAATTTTCAAGGATGGATATTTTACACAAACAAAGACACAAAACCAGCCTCACAAAACCTCCCAGAATTCATCACATGCATTGATAACACTTACTGATATTTGTGCTGCATGTCCTCATGTCATGAGGGAGCTGGCTTTTGTTAGTTAGAAGGATTTTTACAAAAAACCAACAAAATAGAAAGTAATGAGGGCACAGGAAAAACATATAAACTCAATATTATAATTATAATTCCTAAAATTCTATGAATCCAAATTCTCACATTTTTTACTTATTTGTTTGTTTGTTTATCTCTTTTTAAAGTCTGTTTCCATCTGATTCAGTAAGAGTGGACGAGCTGTAGTGAAGAATCTCAGACAGTGTTTTGTTAATTGTTGCTTCACACAATTCACTCTCCTCAATAGCTTTGACTTTGTCTCCCTCTAGTGGTGGAATTGTTCTTCAAACGCCCTGGTACAAGAGAACACATAATCATGATGACATAATCAGTCATGTTTATTGGACATTATATCATTTCCTCTTAACCTCATACTAGTGAGAAACTAAAACAAATGAATGGTTTGTGCTCAATCTTGAATAGACCCTCCTATGCAGATATTTGACATGTTACTGTAGACAGTAACTGATTGCTGTCGTCCTCTATTTAAAGCAGTAGAACTGTATTTTGTTTTGTTTGCATTTTTAAACATAATTTTCCTGTTTAACACTGTAAAGCTGCTTTGACACAATCTGTAGTGTACACTGCTGTTTAGGTGACTGGACAAAGTTCAGCAATTAAATTTTTAAAGATTTAAAGTGGGGTTTTTTTTTCACAAATCTTTAAAAGAAATAATATTGGCAACAGTAAAAGATGAGGAAATAGTATTTATACTGTTTGTATCACTGTGTGTTTGTATTATTAGTGGGGATTTTACAGTGATTCTTTCTGCAGTTACATAATTGCACCAGTAGATGGCGACAAGTGACAGTATAAAAAGTGAATATTGACTCATTTATTCAATCGATTCGTTCCACAACACTGAAACATAAACAAAACGATTAGCGATGGACATTTACAGCGACTCTTTCTGCAGTTACATCAGATGGCGACGAGGGAATGTATTACTCGTGAATTTTGAATCATTCATTCAATCGATTCTTCGACAACACTGAATCGTTGAGGAACGAGACGAGTATTCATGAGCGAGTCAATTCGTTTAAAAACGCTTATTCATTTGGAAGCGAATGAATGCTAGCAGACGCGCAACGGCTCTGTTTGCGTAAATTGCGTTGGTATTTTGCCTCATTTTTATTTAGAAGTATATATCTGTCTCTTTGTTTTACGTTTTTCTTCTTTCATTTGCAAGACCAGAGAACGAGAAACACAAACACTTCCATCAGTAGGGGCCAGTCACTTAAGTGAGTCACTGATTTGATTCACTTACATCAGATTAAAAAACAACGGATCAGCCTGTTGTTCTTTCCAAAGTTACCAGCCATTTTATTTACTCTCCAAAGCCAATAATGAACAATAGGCCTATGTATAAAAGGCATCTGTCCTAATTAAAATATAGTGAGTTTGAAGGCAAATTTTCTACATCTGTTGTAGTTGCTTAGACAATTTTCCAGTTAATTTTAGTGGTCTATATTATTTTAGTATTTTGTGTGTGTGTTTTATTATTATATTATATTATATTATTATTTATATAAACAAAGAGACCCTTATGAAAGTGTTGTGCTGGTATTTTGATACATACTGTACTATAGTATGCCATAATTATTATTTGCCATATTTACTTCCAATATTTTTCAGACATTCAATTTGTTTTTGTTGGTATATACATTTTTTCCCCCACAAACTGCTACAGTATGGTTATACAGTATGTGTGTTTGTGTGTGAGTGTGTTTGGGCGTGTTATATGAATATTTGCATAGTTTGGTTTGGGTGTTTTTTACCATTATACCATCTGCTCTCATAATCCTTATGTCTGTCTGGGGTCTCAAACCTGTGTATGTCTGTCTCTGTACTTTTGCTTTGTCTTTGTCTTTGTGTGTGTGTGTGTGTGTGTGTGTGTGCGTGTGTGTAGTTAAATTGTAGAAGTGTTTTGTATGAATGTATGTTTGTATACACACACAGTATAGGCACAGTTTCAGCATTATTCTGCAGTTTGATGCTTAAATCAATTGTTTGTTCATGTTAGTTCACTACAACTTTTAATTTTGTGCTAAAATGTATTAGTAAAAATGTAAAAAATTATCATTGACTAATACTAATTCTGTAGAAGTAAATATAATAAAAAAATAATGTATTAAATATAAATATTAGATAAAAATATATAAATATTAGATGAAAACTTAATGCAAACGAAATTTAGCAATGTTCCCTTGGGAACTAACTGAAATAATTTTAAGTTGAAGCATTAATTACTGAAAATAAATTGCAATAAATGAAAACCAAAACTAATACTGAAATAAAAATAAATTAAACTTAAATAGCAATAAAACACTATTAAAAATGAAAAAAGCACATAACAGCAACTATAATAGTATATAAATTATGCTTGTGTTTGCACATTGAAATTTAAAACTTTACCCACAACTTTATTTTCTATTTTTTGCCAAGTACAAGCAGCCCACCACAAACAGTC